CCCCCCCCCCCCCATACCATGACAGAAGCAGTATGGTGACTTCTCTCCACCTCCTGGATGACTTCTGCAGCTTCCCAAGAGTTGTGGGCATACACTTGGCCATTTGGCCAGTTGAATTTTTCTTCAATAGTGAATATTTTTTCATCAGTAAAGAGGATTTTGTGGTGTCTGTTTTGCACGTACCTCTGCAGCAACACTTTCGATCGCGGCCTCCTGATTTCTTTCAGAGACGGAGTCAGCATGTGTCGGGTGCTTCTTCAGTAAGCACCCATCCTTAGGTCTGATTTAATCAACCGATACGTGCTTCTAGTCGAGATGGCCATTTCCCTTGGCATCACTTTCTGCTTGCGCTGAGGATTTCGTTGAATCCTGTTGCTAACTTCTTTGATGACTCGTGGTGTTCTGGCAGTGGGTGGACGTCCAGATCTAGGGCGGTCTCGTACTCCCTGAGTATCATTGTAATGTTTGATAGCTCCTTAAACAAACTGCCGACTGATTCCAAGTGGTTGCAAAGTCTTGAAATGATTGCAGGTTTCTGACCCACTTTGTGCAGGGCAATCACTGCCATGCGATTCTCTTTGTCACCCCACTCCATGTTTACTGCACGCAACACAACAGCCAAAATGTTACCAAACAATACGGCAGATAATACACTGCACGATTACTAGGTTACAAGTTTCTAGCTTCTTTTGCTAGAATGCAAGGAACATGTAAATCTTGTGACAGTATTTATGGCAGAACTAGGTATATGCTTAGTTCAGTACCATGATGATGTAATTGTGTTTTCTTCAATCTTTCAATCCAATCTCGACCGACTTTTAACTGTCGTTGATCGTTTGAAGGAGTCAGAAGAAGGTGTAGCCCCAGATCCATCGAAAAGAGGAAAAACTCTAAAGAATTTCCATTTCCCTCTAATGTCAAATACCTTCAGTGGTTTCTGGAAGAAATAGGATATCATCAAGAATTTCAATTTAATTGCTGCATCTCTTCATCACATGATACGAAATAGTGCAAAGTTCCACTGGCCTTTCAGATTGTTAAATATCTTTCGATATCACTATTGGTTCTTGCTTTTCCACGATTTCATCTCCCATTCCCAATGGAAACACGCACTTTTGACATTGGGATTATTGCTGTCTTTTCACGGAAATGTAATGGAGTTGAAAACCCAATATTTTCCCAGATTCAGGATCCTGATTTTGATGGTGATTAGTCCATGATAGTATTCGTTGCAATCTCTCATGACTTTTTGAAATGGAGTCACTCCAATGGCGACGTTATTCCCCCGATGGAGTGTCAGGTTCCAGCAAGGAGCAAAAAGCTCTCCGAGTGGAATCGTTCTCGAAGATGTTCATCGTTAAAGATGTCGATAGGATTCATTCTGTCTGCGAGGACTCCTCGGTGGGAGGCAAAATGTCCATTTAATATGAGGAGAATTGTGCACGAGACAGATCGTTCAGCCCGTCCGTTGCGAGATGCGGGAAAAATAAAAATAAAAATCGGGAAATGAGGACTTCTGGACCTGCTCTATCTGAGACTGGAACCGGGGTCTAAATATATCGCAGAATTATAGTGTCGGCGCCGTTCGAAAATCGCTTCTTCGATAAAGTAATTTCCTGAAAATAAATCTGCTTTATCGGACAGTGCTAGGCTGTAAACTCCGCCCTCAAACGCGGAAATAGGCAATAAACAGCACGCCTCAAAGCAAACATGCGTCGAAATTGCCCCGTTGCGCAAGCATCACTACAAGATGACTTTTTTCCTTTTTCGATAAAATAAAAAATTGAGATTAGGAGTGATATCAGGCATAGAAAGGTACAGGTCCTCTAGGATCGCTCTCACTTGAGGAATTTCGGATTTTCAAGGAATCGAGAACCCAGGCTGAGAGAATATTAGGAAACGTCATTCTGCCATGAAGACATCTCTCTTCTTTTTGGCATTTTTCGTCGCCCTTCCTGCATCTACTATTCAGGTTAGTGCAGAATCCCAACGAGCTCGAATAAATGCTTTATAAACTCATTCATTGCCGCAACATGTTGAGTGAGAGGCTCCCATCAATCGTCAGGAAGTAAAGAAGCCGAAGTTGTGCACTCATGAAGGAGAACTCGGCTACTGTGAAGATGAGAATAGATGCCATTGGACCATCCCTAGCGCAGAACTATCCCTTAGGCGTGAAGTCTGTTCCTATGTCAAAGAAAGGTCTCTCTTCCCCTCCCTTTCGTTCATCGAACTGAAGAGACCAGGAACTAAGATGATGTCCGTTTCCCGTGTTTCATTCGGAGAAGGGAGACGATATGCTGCCCGATGAGTAGGAGCTTCTCGTCCTCGGGTCGGATCGTTGCAGGGAACAGCACGAAGCCGGGAGAATTTCCCTGGATGGTGGCTGGAATCGACAAGTATGAAATGGATGGACCTATGTGTGTTGGATCCCTAATCACTCCCGTCCACGTCCTTACTGCAGCTCATTGTTTATCATACTCGTACGTCTTCTCTTACTACTCAATCCTCTTTTGCTTTTATTTATTTATTATTAATGATACTAGTGATTCTCATTCGTCTTCCTCTTGACAGGATGGAAGAAGTCCCGAGTTACATCCGGGTCCGTGTCGGAGAACATGACTTTGATACGGTGATGGAATCGGAGCATCGCGATTTCCGAGTCAAAAGCGTCAAAGTTCATCCCGGTTTCGCGAACGCCTGGGACGGGAATGAGCTCTACATGTACAACGATCTCGCTGTCGTTGAAATAGACGTTCCATGCATGGAAGAACTCAAGATCGTCCGCCTCCCCGATAAAGCAACAGACTTTCGGAATCGCTCGGCTACCGTCATAGGTGAGAGGCAATTCATGAAAACATATGGAATTTTCAGGCTTCGGAGCTTTCATATGAGGGACGGTTCTAGTAGCAAACAATGACAGCAGCAAAGAATTAGTAGGCATCGCATTTAACTCGATGAGCTCCCGTGTCCTCTGGCTTGTCGTCCGTCGAAGGATTCGGAAATACAAAAAGTGGGAGAGAAGAAAAGAGAGAGGGACGAATGGAAGTGAAAAGGCTTTGAAAAACTTAGTTGTTTGTCATCCAGGTTGGGGAATCAGAGATCCTGACAAGCCTTACCAGCCACCCATTCTCCAGACGGTCACTGCTGGCATTTATCCACATGAGATGTGCAAGAGTCTTCACCCTGCAATCAAGTATACTCATTTGTGTGCCACAAATAACCTGAACGGAGAGAATATCACGTGCTATGTATGGAGATCCTCCTTATTGTTGTTGTTATTCCCTCATCTCGCTCGTTTAGTATTGAATTTGAGAATACTTTCTTTATTTCACTAAAGGGTTTAAAACCTCCTGAGAACGTACACTTCCTTCCTCTTTTAACCCAAGTCCACCCGTAGCTTAGAAGAAGATCTATGCTGACAAACTATGGACCTGTCGGTTGGTAGATGTGCTTACAGAGTCGGGTGTTGGACTGGATTCGATGCGCAATCAAGCCTTACAGTCTGAATGGTGCAACTTCCATCGCTATGAATCCCATAGTCAAGGCAGAATTGTGGATCACCATCTTCATCGGTATCATTTTCGGACCACTTTGGAAATGAAAGCCGCAGGGTGGCACAGGAACATATGTCTGGATTCATGACATGACTTGTTCAATTCAGTAGCTTTTTCCCACTGACTCCGGTCATATTTTTCCTCATATCCTCATTTTTGGTTGCATATTTGCTTCCAGACATTCATTTTCATAACTTCTCATAATTTCTCCTAAACTTTAATAGTAGAATCGTTCTGCGAAAAATGTTCACTCTGCGTCTACAAAAAGTAATAAAACTGAGTCAATTGCTTCGTCCTCTTTATTTGCCCCTCATGTTGACTTGAAGTCTGCATCCCACTTGCAGGATTACAATACTGGGTGTTCCTAAACTATCTATCCTATTTTGGACGAAAATTAAAATAACTAATAGGCATACCAAAAAGCAGTTTGCACCATCTTGTAGCCTGTCTCAAAGAGATTTTATTGACGTGTCGGTTGACTTCCACATCTACAGTATTGCGTTAGTGGCTCTCAGCACGTCCAACCAGATGGTGCAAACTGCATTTTTTCTATGCTTATCTAACTTGCGTTCAAAATAGGAAAGATGATTCAGGAACACCCTGTACAGAAGTTTGGTCTATCATACGTATAATAAGGTTGCTCCAGAATTCCTATCTGTTTTGCACCGTTCTGTGGCGAAACTGAGGAAAAGTACTGGTTCCAAACCATGTCATGAAGAAAGCTGCAATAAACTCAGGTACGTGGCCATGCATTGCATCGTGACCGTTTCTGAACTCAAAAGACGTAATCCTATACCGAAACAATGTATGTACCCCAATGATTCGGGGAAACTGTTTTTTTTTGCCAAATCTTTTCTTATATTGCATTTTTCAAGTAACTTTTCAAGTAATGAAACCTCAATATTTTCGAAAACTTTCACATGCTAGCTATCGGCGAGCCAATGCAGACCGCGATATTACGAACAGATGAAAGTTACCAGCTCTCAAGATGTCCCAAATTGTCCCAAGATGTCACATGTCCCAAAAGAATGATTCGCTCATCGGCACGGCAGCATTCCAGCTCAAGTGGTCAAATTCGTGGAACTTTCGTTGCGTGTCAGACGCCATTTGCCTGGGGGGAAATGTATTTGCATGATGGCTTCTAAAAGTTACAAAAAATAAAGATATCGGCGTTTTGGTTCGAACGGTTTTTGAGATAGGCTGCCCTGAAGTTAACCCCCAGGAGAAATGTGACCTTTGGGGTCAAAGCGCTATCTTTTGTTCCAGTTGAGCTAGAAATGCGAATTTGTACTTTATTTTAAACTTCATACGACGATGGGACATGGAATGTTCCCTTCGAAGGCGATTCTTCAAGATCGAGTGAAATCCTATGCCACACTCGGTCTATCGACCAAAGAGACACGGAAACGCCACAGCTGCCATACATACGCCGACCTATGGCCACATGCCGACCTTTGGCCACATGCCGACCTTTGGCCACATGCCGACCTATGGCTGATTGGGTAGCAATAAAAAATGCGTTCATGGCTTCTTTGGTACTTTGGTTCTTTAGCACTGTGGGTATATTGAAAGCAATAAAAGAAGATGGGATTGAAAAGGAATTAAATTCGTTAAGGGATTTAGCACGAATCGTAGCTCATTTGTAGTTCACTATATAATCCCCAGGGATAATTTAAAAAATTGCTCGCGGGACTTTCCCCCTAGTTTCAAACTCATTCGCCAGTTTTCATAATTTTTTTCCAACACGAGGAATAAAAGCAACTCTCGCCAGTCTCGTAGGGCATCAAATTATCCCCCCCCCTCCCAAATCCGAACACCATTATTCCACTGCTCAATTTACACGGAGGAGTACTCATGTCCCTTCGCCGATTCTTCATTTTATTCTGAAAATAACGTGAATTAAAAATAAATTACTCGGTCCCATGGGTTTCTACCCATACAAGCATTACCCCATATTTAACTGCTTTTTCCTCTTTTTACCTGAAGGATCTTCTGAGATATTGAGAAAGGGGAAAAAGCGTTTTTTTTCCTCTTTAGTTTCACCCTCCCAATTTTACCTCAGGTAAAAAATTTTCGAAAGGTTACCCACTTCCTACGTTCTGGAATGACATTGGGGGGGAAAAAAATAAATATGTCCATTGGTTTTTCATTCTCCGTTTCCTCGAATGTGGATTCCTCTCCTGCAAAGACCTTCACTCTGCAGTGACCTCCGCTTACTCATCATTGCAAGCAGCTCGCTCATGACCGTCTAACTCAAGATATGCAATGGGCGAATCGAGAGAGCGTTCTGGTATGCTTGGACAGGGTCTTCCAAAAGTCACGCAACCCATCATGTACAACATTTTTTTGAGGAACTTAAATTGAGTTGAATTAATCAAAACTGGCTTAATATAGAAGGAACACATCTCACCTATGGAAAAAAAGTGCAATAGCAAGTTTTGGATGTGACCATCGCGTTCCTGCAAGCACATTACGACAAGCTTGCGCATGTTCGCACTCAACATAGCGTAAGGGCGCAGGAGTAATGCGGGCAATGGCCTGTGCAATGTTTTGCTTCAACGTTTCCAAGTCTTTGGGATTGTTAGCCTATACGTTTTCGTTCAGGTATCCCTACAGAAAATAGTGAGGTATGGAGACCAGAGATTCTTGAATATGAAGAGTTCTTCCGTCATGTTGAAAGCACGAATCACGGTCGTCAATTTATATCATGGCAATATATTGCTGAATGATGTGTGAATGTGAATAGGTGAATGATGATCCATGGCTCGTCGCAAAGAATGGCCACTGTGTGGCGACTCCAAAGTCAGCCTTGTGATTTGAGATATTCTTTTTATTTATATATTGTGCAGTTGCACCATCAGAGAAGTAGAAGATTCTAAACAGCCAATGGACTTTATCCTTCAGGATTGGGATGAGGAGATTCTAATAGTGGTACACAGCCACTGTGTCATGGGTCAATGAATCTGAAATGGCAGCAATATTGGATGGAGGAAAATTCGTACCAGCAAGAAAAATCAAAACATTTATTCAAATTTGACATGAAGATTATTAGGTTCTGAATGAAAATAAACTTGTGCATTAAGGGATAACACTGTCGCACTTTTTTCTTACGGTATTTCAATTTCTTCATGAGGTCAAATTGATGTCAATGGAGTTCACTTTCTCCCTACATACAAGGAACTTACACAAGATGATTGCAACTGTGATGTAGGATTAGGGTGTTCTCACTGATGAGGGCCAGGATATCTCTGTATGTGGGGCTGAATCTTGTACTCGTTGAAAAAGGGCTGTTCGTTCCTCTTCGCTCATGTGGGTCAATTTCAATAGTCCCGAGGTATGGGCGACTCTATGCATCATCTTCCTCCCTCCTTTTATCCTCTCCTCGACTGCTTGAAGAAGATTTACACACTCATTCTGAGTCAATTTATCTGACATTTTGAGCTAAGTTTTCAATTTAATAAGTTGCTTAAATGTTGAATTTAGTAAAAATGTAATTATCAAACCTCTCTCTCCCTTGAGCAGAGGATCTGCGGTAGAAGTGCATGAATATAAATGTGCAGATCACCACCAATATAGCACCACACACAAGCCCCAATATCACTGAAATAAAGAAGACAGGATATATTGTCTAAAGCTTCCATTGCATTCTCATGTCGAATGAAGCAGAACTTGGGGACTCACAGCCAAGCGGACTTTCACATGTATCTCCAAACACCGTCGGGTTACAACTGGCAAATACAACCATTTTCACCATGACTAAATATTGTTTTGTAAATACACGCTTCAGTTCTCCCGTAAATACCTGCAATAGCGCCCGAGGGTCTCAATGTTGTGCAAACAACTTCCTCGATTCGAGCAGTAGTCATCCGTACATTGCACTGTGGAAATGAAGGAGCCAGAAAGAAAACAATGAATGAAAACAAATGGCAAGAAATAAAAATAAAGTACCAGCCCAAGTATATATCTGCCATCCTACTGCCCACTATATCTTTGGAACGATCTCCTTCCGCCTTATTCTAATAATCCTGCATTAAAATAAATGAATTAAAGCTGTCATTGGTACGTCGCTGGCCTACGTGGAGAGTCCCAGAAAACTCGACAAAGGTGCTCGCCAGTCCGCTTCTCCTGGGGATGAGATAGTAGGATGGAGTAGTCTAGAGGGTGTCTGATATGGCATGACACGAGTGTCATGCCATATCAGACACTATAATCAGCGTAACATTTCTTGACTCTTAGGTCACTCCACATCAAATCGCCCAGAAGATGAGCTCAACCATCTTCGATTCTGACAAGAATCGCATGCATGTAGAGGAATTGATTATAAGAAAATAAATTGCAGAGGTTTTTTATCTTGCTCCGATCTCGAGATATATCCATTCGAATCGATTGATGTCATGTACGGCACCAAAAAAAATGCAGGTGACTTTGGAATCACCCTGTATATGGACCCAGGTGCCTTTAGTCTATCATGTGCTATCATGCGATCCTGAATTGGCCATGAAGGTCAATATAATGGAGAGTGTTCGAGCCATAATGCTCGATAATTTCAAGTGCGGCATCACTGCCTCGCCCCAATCCACAGTGGCAAGAATGGCGAAAACATGCGCAAAAATCAAACATCAGCGATATTATCTTATAGTGAAAGGAAACTTTTGAATATTGCTTTCAGAACATGTTTAGCTAGATTCAAACGA